GAAATCTAAAAAAAAAAAAAAAAGATGTCCCAAATGATCCTGCGGTCACCTATCTCGACCAAGCATGTCTTTGTCTTTCAATTACACAATAAAGCTTTTCCTTATGACCAAGAGCTTGGGAAGAACAAGGACCATTGTAAATGTGATTATAAATCCATGTGCTAGTCTAGTATATTTAAAGCCACTTGACAACAGGAATGGAAGCTATTTTGAGAAAACATGATGCTGAAACTAGACTTGGCATTATGCGTCCCTGATTTATGTACACTACAAAAGATATTGACTAGTCTTAAGTAATGTTAACAGTAGACTTTTGAGTTCTCAGTCTTTATAACTGCATTTTGTTGGAATTCAACGAGTTGTTGTTGGGGAAAGCATGATATTCGAATGTTTAAGTCTCGTGATTTACTGCAACCACAGGACCTTCGGCACCAATGAGACTTGCACAAAATATATTAAAAATTTTTATGTACCCCAGGGTATGTGATTTTAGATGCTGCATTCTCAGTAAATGGGAGACTGTAAACAATTTCTCGTTTTAGTTTGGTGATAGTCCAATTTCATTTGGAGATGAGTTTGTCGTCCTTTTAGTGTTGTGGTAAAAAGTCTCATGTTTGGTCCTCATGGAATAGTTTAGTTGTCATTGCAAGATGGAAAAAAACTAACTATATTCTGTATTTCCCATTTTTGAACTTGCATTAATTTCTTAGTGGTCAGTTTTGAAAAAAGTAGGTAACGATACAAATGTTTTAATGTGAACTTTGGTGAACCGGTCAGTGTTATACTTGTAATATATGTAAATAAATGATTTCTTAAAAAAATAACTGAAGTCTTCATTTGGCTCACAGATTAATCAATAAATGCATTTCATTCAAGTTAAAAATGTAAGGACTATCCCACTAATAACCAATTTGAGCTTGTATATAGAGCTCTGGACATAACGAGCAGCAAAACAGATGAACTCCATAGACATTTAATCAAAAGCTCCTCTTTTACATCATGTTCTGACATATTAACAAAAGAAAGAAAAAAATCCAAAGTCCAAAGCAACCAATAGTTTTCTGATATCAAATTCAAGTCCTAGATGAAACCACATTACTGGACAACTTCTTGCTCTTGAGCTTGTCTTTTAAGAGGAATGATATATATTCCATTCCTAGCTTCCTTTATTCTCCACCATCGGCCCAATCTGAAAAAGATGAAAAAAAAGATACACTGAACTTAATGTCAACATGATGAAATGTGTAAATGCTGTGCAAGAACCAATTCACTTCACATTTGTGCCATCTAGTGGTAGTAACAATTGAATATAAAAAGTTAAAGAGTAAAAAATGAAATATTAATATTAACGTTATAATATATTAATAATATTCATAAATAAAAAATTAATTCAAAGGTGCACTTGGACGACAAAAAAAGGATCTACATTTGAATATCTTTATTTAGTGATTGTTAGCTGAACACAGAATCATTATTAATATAACAGCAAAATAAAACTAAAGAACAAACTCAACATTGTGAAGAAATTTTTTAATGGCCAATACAATTGATAATCACTAATATTTAAATACCAATGGCTGTTATAATATATATAAATAAACACTTAAATAATGACCAAAACTTCCAATTTACTAAAGAATATTTGATGTGCATTTACTATTGTTATTACAAAATAATTATTCGATTTTGTAAATGACACTATATAAAATGACAATTTCTGTCAATCATCAGATGCAGCTAATTGCAAAATTACTACTTCCCATCGCTTAAAAATACTTCACCTGTGCTCCTGTCCAACTCCCGCCACAAGAAACTTCCCAGAGTTTGAGAACTTCAGACTGTTGACAAATCCAGTCTAAAAGAGAAATAAAACAAGCTTATTAGCATTGATTATACTGCAAGTACACTTACTGTAAGAGACAGGCACATCATCACTGTGGACATTGTGCAGTTGTGAAAAATAGTGGTATTATGAACTGATACATTATTCATCCTCTCCAGATGAAGTACGTGGCTTTATCCACACACACAATAGGACGTGATTCAATAGCAGATGGGCAATAAACAGTCTAACAGAGCTGTATGGATGTGTACTGCTCACCATAGGGACGCTGAAGAGCTTTGTTGTTGGTTTTTCTTTTGTGTTTATTTGGTTTGCAATTTATTGATTTATATATATATATATATATATATATATATATTCTTTTCTCTGCGCACAAAAAGTATTCTCGTAGCTTTATAAAATTAAGGTTGAAACACTGATGTCATTTGAACTATTTTAACAATGTCCTTACTACCTTTCTGGGCCTTGAAAACTCTCCGTAGATTTCATCCTAAAAGTGTACGTATGCACAAAATCTAGATTTTGCGTACGCACAAAAGTTTTCAGATTTATAAAACCAGGCGTACGCCAGAACCTGCGCAAAAATCCGTATATAAATCCCAGTCAGGGGAAGATTGTGCATACGTGCATCTCCACCCCGACTCCTCCCTGAAATAACCATATATGGAGCTTGCAACACCTAGTTTTACTATGCATAACCTCATCTGCATATCATTTCCATGCATATTCCCATCCATGTGACACCATGTTCAACACCATCAAAAGCACAGACATAATAAATAATACATAAAATAAATAAATATATATATTTATTATGTCTATGGTCAAAGGTACAAGACATTAAGGAAATATGAGATACGGACTATAAAATGGCATTTATTGCATACACAATTTTTATTGCTAAAAATCATCCAGTAACCGTATGTTTAAGAATAAATATATCAAAACATCCATAAAAAAACTGTTTAAAATAGTTCTCAGATAAATATTTTAGAATAGATTTGATCTCATTTATTTCCACTGGCCAAAATAGTATTTCAATTGTTTTAAATCAAATCAAATTAAATTTATGCAGTTTTGCTGATAAGGTGAACATCTTTTAGCTATTTTTAGTGGAAACAGATAGGCCTATATTTATTGCAGTGTAAATACGACTGTCTGACTCGGCGCATCACTGACAAAGTATTTTAAAAAGGAAACGTGTAAATCTTACTGTTTTCTTTAAGTTGTATCCTTCAAATACAGTGGTATTTTTCATAATATATTTGAGATTCCTTCACACGCCATTAACATCTCCGTGCAGCTGTGGTTTTATAGCAAGTTATTCTCATTGGTCCTATTCAAACCGAACAATGGACCGTTAATAAACAGTCTAACAGAGCTGTATGGATGTGTACTGCTCACCATAGGGACGCTGAAGAGCGGCTCCAGGCCTCTGAATCCCTGCCCACACTTCCACAGCTGCACCGCTGAATTATGGGAGCCTGGGGAGGGACAACAATGATGTTGATGGTAATCAGGTGTTTGGAGAGCAGTCTCGTATGGAAATGCAGAAGGCGGAGAGCTTTGTGAACAAGGTCAAAGTGGAATGAGGACAGATTATGAAATGTAATATTGCACTTGCGGGTAATCGTGTGTGTGTGTGTGGCAAAAAGGCAAATGAGTTTGTGGGTGGTTGTAGTTTTAAGTGCAGTGGGTTTGTTGGCCGTGAGTGATACCTGGTGTTGTGTGTGTGTGTGTTGTGTGTGTGTGTACCTGATGCCACGATGTCAGAGTTGTGCAGCGCCGCCACAGAAGACACCCAGTAGGGCTGCTCCAGACCAGTGTTGCCATGGCTACCGTGGGCTTGCTTCACTGTGCTCACCGGCTTCTTCTTATTAACCGTCCAAATAGATATAGAGCTGTGCAAAACCAAAGCATGAGTGAAATGGAATCATTTATCCATTAAAGTAGGGCTTGATGCTTACTTTTTCCCCAAGGAGCACATGTGAAAATGAAATGTATAAAATTAGGAGCACATTAGAAAAAAGTTAAGGGTGCAATGAAAATTCATGGAATACAAGGAGATATTTACATGCATAATGATTAATTTATTAGAATATAAAAAGTACACTAGGTTTTTAAGTATTTCTGCTTCAAAATGTATTTAATAATTATTTATTAGCCTGCTTAAAAGTGTGTGTGTGTGTGTGTGTGTGTAAATACAAATCACACGCCATTAACATCTCCGTGCAGCTGTGGTTTTATAGCAAGTTATTCTCATTGGTCCTATTCAAACCGAACAATGGACCGTTCGGCCACCAAATCCAGCAGTGTCTGCCATAATTTGGAAGTAAGTATGCATCATCATTGTTCTCGCTAAAATATTTTCTCATAACTTGAGATCTGCAGTTTAATTTAAAGATGAATTATTGTGCACCTATAGCACTCCTCACTGTCATAAACATAGTATACCACAGCAAAAGGTCAAGAGCATCCACTACAAATGTCTAAATTCATATAATTTTGTTATGACTTTATGCAGCCTAATTTCAGTGTTTATCTCCATTAATGAGAGTGGAATTTTTAATGTAAGTGTGTATTGACATGAAAACAGAGTTTAAAATTGTTGTTTACTTCATTTCATTTCTCACTCCTCTCTCACGCACGGTGCGTACATATTTACGCCAAGTTTTTTTCTTATAAATCCGGATATGTGCATGGAAAATTGCGTACGCATATTTCTATGCCCATTTTGTGCGTACACAACGTTTATAAATGAGACCCCAGTTGTCTTGCTGTCTATACAGTGTCAGAATGCTCACACATTTCATCAAAAATATCTTAATTTGTGTTCCGAAGATGAACGGAGGTCTTACGGGTTTGGAACGACATGAGGGTGAGCAATTAATGACACAATTTTCCTTTTTGGGTGAACTATCCCTTTAAATGAAAAAAGTCTTACCCATCATCTCCACCTGTGACCATGTGTTCTTCATTAATAAGCTGGATACAATCAATGGAGCCCCTTCAGACAGACAGAAGACATGGACAAAAACATCATTACATGCAGGGAGGTGAAGATAATGCATCCTTAAAACTGACAAAATAAATGAAGTCTCAACTGTTCACTTAACCAGGCCAAATTTTGAGGTCATAATTAAAGAAAGGTCATGACCACAAACTTAAACTCACTCGTGTCCATGAAAGACAAGCTGTGATTCTTCAGCAATTTTCCACACTCGGACTGTCCTGTCTCGTCCTCCTGCAGTCACACATCTCTCTCGACTCAAACAGTCCAACCCGGTGATCATGTCCTGATGGCCGAACCTGAGGACAGACACAAATAAACATAAAAATTAAACCTGAGAATAAAGAGAGAGTACAATTCTCCTGTTTTATTTAGGAGCTGATGTACCTACAGGGTTTCTACATAAGCGTTCTCGTCCACACTCCACACTTTTATCGAGCGGTCATGTGACGCGCTGTAAAGGGTGTGAGTTCCTCGTCTAAAGGCCAAACCCTGCGGAGGAAGCATCGAAGCGTTCAGACAAATTCAGTCGAATGTGAGCAAACATTTAGAAAATGATCATCATCTAAAGTCACAATATAATATCTAAATCTATATTAGAGATGTTCTACTCACAGATACAGCATCTCTGTGTCCTTTAAACTTGTACAGATGCTTACATGTCATCGGATCCCAGATCATGATGAGTTTATTCATGTCTCCACTAGCCTATAAAACAAAGAAAATAACACCCATTCAATTGCATCCAGCTTTGAGTTTTTAACTAGTTGACAAACTGTAACATGAAATATTATATTATAGTAAAAACAGTATTATCGTGTAATAACTTTTTAATATTTTCTATTTGAATTAGTGGTGTCAAACGATTAATCGCATCCAAAATAAAAGTTTTTGCTCACATAATATATGTGTGTGTACTGTGTATATTTATTATGTATATACTACAATCCAAACACATGCATGTATACATTTAAGAAAAATATGTAATGTTTATATAGTAAACATATATATATATATATATATATATATAATATAAATGATATGAATATAAATATATACACATGTAAATATTTTCAAAATATATACTGTATGTGTGTTCTTAAATATATTTATATATAATATAAATTATATGAATATAAATATATACACATGTAAATATTTTCAAAATATATACTGTATGTGTGTTCTTTTATATATACGTAATAAATATACACAGTACACAAACATATTAAAAAAACTAAAACTTTTATTTTGGATGCGATTAATTGACAGCACGATATATATATATATATATATAATATAAATGATATGAATATAAATATATACACATGTAAATATTTTCAAAATATATACTGTATGTGTGTTCTTTTATGGTGCATATATTTAGCAAAACAGTACACAAACATATTAAAAAAACTAAAACTTTTATTTTGGATGCGATTAATCGTTTGACAGCACTAATTTGAATATATTTTACAATGTAATTTATTCCTCTGATGACAAAGATGAATTTTCAGTCTTTGGTGTCACATGATCCTTCAAAAATCATTCTAATATGCTGATTTTCTGCTCAAGAAACTATTATTATTATTTATCAATTATCAGTTGAAAACAGTTGTGCTGCTAAATATTTTTTACAGGAGTCTTTAATAAATTGAAAGTTCAAAAGAACAGCATGTATTTGAAATAGAAATCGTTTGTAACATTATAAATGTCTTTACGGTCACTTATTATCAATTTAATGTGTCCTTGCTGAAGTCCTAATTGCTTTATTAATTACGTACAATAAACATGCCTTCGACATACGAAAATACTGGTTTCAAAAATTCTTAAACATTTATTGAAATGATCGAACATATTTAAATTAATTTCAATAAATTGGTCACTTGGGTATGAATATATTAGGACATGGCCACAAAATACAGCCCATTTAATTCCAAGGCTCAAATTATGGACCAAGCGAAACTAATTGGTAGAAAACTGATAAATAATATGACCCAATGAATTCCAGCTCTCACCAGGTATTTCGCATCAGATGATATGGCCATACACAGGACGTGAGCGGTGTGTCCCACATGACGCGCTTCTGTTCCCTTCCGTCCTCCTGCGATCTTCTGCGCCTTCTTTCCGCTCTCCACCTCCCCTGCAGATCATAATCATCTTTCATTTAGCAGCACACTGACTCAAGTTCATACCGTACAACACAAGCTGAAATGCCTGAAAACGTATAACATTAAGCAGAGCGAAGTTGACCTGTCAGACTCACATTTGATGATGGAGCAGTCTTTGCTTGCCGAGAAGATGTATTTCTCATCTGGGGTGATGACGAGACATGTGACAGGTAGTTTGTGTCCTCTCAACAACCTGATCTCTGCTGGGTCTGGAGCTATGAGCTAGAGGAGACGTCACGGTGATGTCAGAAACAGGAAGTAACCGTGGCAAATCAAGATGTGGTATATGCACCGCAGCTAATGGAAACTTCACTCACTTCTTTGGCTATCAGTCTTTGCAGTTTGCCTTTCTGTTCCAGCTGAGGAAGATGAAGAAAAACCAAGTGATTATGAGACAAGAGAGATCATTGTAACTCTTATTAAAATAAGTTGATGAAAAATCCACTCACTGTAGCACTATATAACATCTTCCAAAATAACAGTTTTAACGACAATCAACAGATTTTGAGCAAGTTAATTAAAAATAGCTTATGTAATGGTTAGTTTTTATTTTAAGTATCCTTTTGTTTACAATGAATCAAATATACTGTTATATATATATATACTAGTTTTAAACCATTATCTGTCCTTCGAAAGTTATTTTAAATGTTTTTGAGTTTGATTTGGTAAAAATATTACAAAACAGCTCCTTTCTGTATTAATATAAAAGCATGAATAATTTTCTGTTTGGATCAGCACTGCAGAAGAAAGACATCGGCGATTTTTTTTAAAGAAAAGTAATATAACATCCGCGTTCAGTCACAGCATAACAAACTAAGTTAACGTTAGAGTAGATCACTTACCTTTCATTTTCTGAGTCACTCGATATTTCTTCATCCATTCGCTTACTGAACTTTTTTGATCGGCCTTTGCCATCATCTGCATTACTCTTGAAATGCGAAAGAATAATAATGATATACGTTTTTTTTAATCAAACAACATTATGAAAGCTAAAAAGAGAATAAAAAAATTATACAACTAAATGTAGACGTACCTTTCTTTTTAAATCTCCTTTATTAGGAGCCGCAGAGATTACCTTTTTCTTTATAAAGAAAGACGACATGATGCAGCATAAAACTAATTGTTTTATGAAATAATTCAGGATTGCTTAAGATAATTTAGTGCTGCTTGACTGCCACTCACATGGTCACAAACACATGCTTTCTGTAGCTCTTCTTCTCTGATGGTTTGCGTGTGTGTTTGCGCTACAGCGCAGCGTAATGGCGAGACGTTCTTCTTCTTCTTCTTATATCTTTCCGGCAGTGTAGACGCTACTGGGCGTATTACTGCCCTCCACAGGTCAAAGTTTGAACTAAATTAATGGAGAGACGTTACATTACATCGACCGCTTCAACTGAGGTACTGCGATTGTACACAGTGTGGGACTAACACTGATATAACAACAACAATAATAATAATAATAATAATATTGAGATTTTTGTTTGCACAAGGAGTCTGACAACAGCCAGTGCTTCACACAGAGATCTGATCTCATCATCATCACCATCACCACTGAATAACAACCTCATTGGATTATTGGCAAAATGAATGTTTGGAAATGTAAACTGATATTTCCTACTAACACACTACAGCAAAAGATAGAAATAACTGACTTAAAACCATTTTTTAGCTGCTGAAATTACTAGTGTTCTAATAATTTGGCCACCACTGTATGTAATAAAATATAAATACTGTTATTACTGTTGTCGTTATTATTATTAATATATAGTAGTAGTTGTGTACTTAATTATGCTAATAACTACTACTATTAATAATAATACTATACTACTACTATTACATTAAATATACATAAAATACATGCACAAATACTTTACTACTGTACATTATGCACACACTAATACTACTTCCAATAATAATAATATATTATAAAGAAATTAATAATAATAAGGATGATAAATATATAAATAAATCAAATAGAAACAGACATATGTACAAACGTAATAAAATCACATAATTAAGCATAAACAATATATTATGAATCAAATAAAATATAAATAATAATGCACTATAAATGAAATACACATACATACAAATATGTAATAAAACACAAAGTATAATAATAATAATAATTATTATTATTATTATTATAAATTGATAAAATAATGCAGTAAAAATGCATAAAGTATAAAACTACTACTACTATACTACTACTACTATATTATATATACATAAAATAAATGCACACATACTATACTACTGTACATACTATAATATTATATACACACTAATACTACTGCCAATAATAATAATAATATTATAAAGAAATTAATAATGATGATGATGATGATGATGAATATATAAATAAATGAAATAAAATACAGACATATTGCAAACATGTAATAAAAACATATAATTAAGCATAACAACAATATTATAAATCAAATAAAATATTATATATACATGCAGTAAAAACAAAGTACATTAACAAGTACACTACTACTCCTACAACTACTAATAATAAAGCGTGGTTTACAGTGAATTTATAACAGCTAAGGGGTGTTGTTAGGCACGAATTTAGCTGTTATAAATTCACTGTAAACCACGGCTTCACGGGGCTTATTTCTTTTATAAAACGGTTATTCCAGGTTGTCTCATATAGTTTTGAGCATGTCTCTCTCTCTCTCTCTCTCTCTCCTGTTGTTGTGTTGTTGTATTCACCTGCAGCTCTCTGGCTCCTCAGTGAGGGGAACTGACACAGTATAATTACTCTGTCTATAGATGTTGCAGTAGAGTCTCCTAATGGACTGATCTGTACATCATGTACATCTGCCTCTGTAATGGCTTCCGCTTGTCTTAAGTGCAAAACCGTGGAGCCAAACAACTCCATTAAGCTCTCTACACCACAGACAGAGTGAGCGCTGGATAAACTTCACTGACTCCACATGACTGATGGACAGACCCTGGACTTGGGAACATGAAATGATGCTTGTGCAGACTTAGTTGACAAACATCAGGTGAGATTTTTTATTGTCTTATTTTATGTTGTATATTCATTTGTTCTTTAAAGAACATTCTGAACATCCTCTAGAGGTGTTATTTGTTGCTTTGCCGTAATTTTCAACCACTTTTCACCGAGAAACCTTCTCTGAAGTTATTTTTTGCTCTGAAAATTGAGGTAGTGTGAGGTCAAGGCATTACCAATAAACAAACTGATTAACCTAAAACACGCTAGAACGTTCTGTGCAGCAGTAATGATGTGATGTAATACAGCCTCTGTGCATTTTCAGGCCAAATTACTCCGCATTCATTTTCTAGCCCCTATGGACATGTGCTGATGAACTGTGACTATAGAAGATTAGAGATTAGGATTATTGGCATTGAGAAATGACATGGTGGAGGTCATAATAAATCTTGGCTGACCAGTTTCAAAAGTTTTTTAAACAACACTGCAGAATTATTCGAGACACTGTACAGTAAAATTTACACTGAATTACTGCGGTCGTAAGTACTTCGTTAATTTTTTTTAAATCCTTTTGAATTCTCTTAGACTCAACTTTTTTGATAAAAATGTGAAATATTATTACAATTTAAAAGAACTGTTTTCTATATGAATATATTTTAAAATGTAATTTATTTCTGTGATGCAAAGCTGAATTTTCAGCATCATTACTCCAGTCTTCAGTGTCACATAATCCTGCAGAAATCATTCTAATACACTGATTTGCTGCTCAAGAAACATTTCCTATTTTTATCAATGTTGAAAACAGTTGTGCTGTTTAATATTTTTTTTGTGGAAACTGTGGTATGTATTTTTCTGGAATCTTTGACAAATACAAAGCTCAAATATAAATATATACCTACCTACCTACCTACCCACAGCTAAATTACACCCATCACCTTAAGAGTTCATTTTTATAGCTATCAGAAGTTCTCTAGGCTTTACAGTGACTCTCCAGTAAATGACATCAATGAGATGATGTGTTTGGCTGTGTGAGAGTGATTATGTGTGTATCGTGACGTCTGTGGCGTGAATGCATTGTAGTGCTGTGCAGGTGACAGTGAGCTCACGCTAACTCTAATGCCAGAGAAACCCCAACAGCTGCAGCCAAACAAGTCAGCTCATTATACTCCGCTTCAAAAGGTTAGAGCACCACGAGCACCATGAATAGAGCACCATGAATTATTCGAACTGATCAAGCAATTCCCTGCTTTCTCAATGTTTAGCCACACATGTCCACAAAACAATCACAACAATGCACTGGACATGTTACACTAATAGCCTGTTGATTTAGAAATGTTACTTAAACCTGCCCTCACAAAATGTGCTTTTATAATGGTTATATCATGTTTTTGGACACTGGCATGATGGTAATACCATGGTATTTTTCCGACATATTTGATGTATGTAAATACAGTGCCATCTGACACAGTATACCATAGTACTGCTGTAGTATTGTATTGCATTTTAAGGGCCTGAACATTTTTTGAAAACCAAACTTGGACTAATTACAAAAATATTGTACACTGTCATAGCTTGCCATTTTTAAAATAATATATATTTAAAATAGAATAATGTTTCAGGAAAGACATTTTCAGTTAATATATTATGGTCTCGGTAAAGCACTCTGTAAAGCAACTGAATATAGGGAAAGGCAATTTTTATTTTAATTTAATCATTAATTTTTTTATTAACTTTATTAATAGAGTATGTATTTTTAATTAACTATTTTATAATAATTTCTAATTATAGCATTATTTATATTATAATAAAGTATATAAATGTGATATGAATTAATACAAATAAAAAAGCATGTGGTCTCCAAAAAAAACTGTAAATACAGTAAAAATACAACAGCATGCAAATAAGCTAAAAATGCTTAAAGGATTAGTTCACTTCCAGAATAAAAATGTCCTGATAATTTACTCACCTCCATGTCATACAAGATGTTCATGCCTGTCTTTCTTCAGTCGAAAAGAAATTACGGTTTTTAAGAAAAAACATTCTAGGGTTTTTCCCCATATAGTGGACTTCAATGGGGATCAGTGGGTTGAAGGTCCAAATTGCAGTTTCAGTGCAGCTTCAAAGGGCTCTACACGATCCCAGCCGAGGAATAAGGGTCTTATTCCTTTTCGACTGAAGAAAGAAAGACATTAATATCTTGGATGACATGTGGGTGAGTAAATTATCTGGAAATTTTACTCTGGAAAGGAACTAATCCTTTAATGCACCTTTCAATTTGGCAACGTGCTCTTGTGCATGTGTTCATCTGTACTGTAGTTATACAAATTTTTGTGTATCATTTCATGTATTCAACAGTGCTGCCCTTTGACCTCCAGACAATGAGTCCCCATTCCTGACGGGTGAAAGATGGAGAAGCCTGCGTTTCTACTTTGTGTTTGGTGAACCACACTGTAAACAATGGAGGCATCTGGATTACATCCGCCAGCACAGCATAACGAAACTGAACTTAATGAGACATTGAGTCATGGCCACCCTATGCATCTGGCTCCCAGCATGCAGTTAGGGAGCATGTCCAACCCGCAATCGCGTTTACGAGACATGTCGGGCCTTGTGGTCATGGTGACTCTTAATGCAATCGCGCTCTTGGCCAATAGCAGAGTGCTTGCTGTAGTGGTGAAAGTGCCACATCTCCGCAAGTTCAGTTTGGTGTGTCACCTCTGCATCGTGGATTTGCTATGCGCCGCTCTGCTGATGCCACTCGGCATCGTCTGTGGCTCGCCCTTTTTCGCCGGCATCGTCTTTTCTGTACTTGAATGCAGGTTGTACATTTTCCTCAATGCCTTTCTCATATCTGCCTCTATCTTTACCGTTACTGTGATTAGCATCGAACGCTACGTCTACATCGTGCATCCCATGAGGTACGAGGCTAAAATGAATCCTTGGTTATCCGCAGCTGTGATGGGATTCGTCTGGGTGGCATCTACTTTGCTAGGACTTGCTACCGTCTTTGGGTGGCCCAGTTATGGAAGTAGAAGCTCCATTGCCGCCACCCATTGCTCTCTCCATTGGAGCCACAGTGGACACCGGAGAGTATTCGCTATTTTATTCTGCACTGTTTGCTTTTGCGTTCCAGCTGCTATTATTATCGCCGTCTATGGAAATGTCTATAAAGTCGCCCATACGGCTGCCCGGGAAAGAGGGCCCATCCCGAGCTGGACGATGGCGACCTCTCATCCGAAGTGTCGGTCTGATTCCGTCAACAGCCAGACAACGATCATCACCACCAGCACGAGCGTCCGCAGAAATCAAGTCCCTCGCAGGAAAAGGAGAACGCTGGTTGGAGGGAAAGCGGCTCTAACTTTGGCCATCATTGTGGGTCAGTTTCTGCTCTGCTGGCTGCCTTACGTTGCTTTCCAACTGCATTTGTCGCTGGGATTCTCCCATAGTACCTCTGAAGAAGCTGAGGGACCGGTGACATGGCTGGCGTATTCAACGTTCGCAGTAAACCCGTTTTTTTACGGCCTGCTCAACCGTCAGATCAGGGAGGAGTTGTGTAAGATGCTCTTCTGTTGCCGATCGGCTGGCAGACCAGTGTGGCCCTCTGCGTCAGGCCACGAACGGTCGGGACAGGAAGACTTTTTTCATTTTTTGCACAGGAGCGGCGACAGGGACGGAGTTAGATGCAGTTATCACATGGCTACACCGAGGAGCACGCTGGAGCAGACTAGTTTTAGGATACCAGGGCAAATACCTGAAGAGATCACCTAAACAAAATATTCAGATTTTCATTTATTGAGTCTAAAATCTTTCATGTTTTTTTGTAATAGAGTTGCATTTTTATTATACATTATTGTTTTAGCCTTTTTAGCTTTGAAATTAAAATTCACTCTATCTATTTTCTAAATGCATTCTATTGATCTTATCGTGAACAATCCATCCATGGCAGGGCTAAAAAAATAGATAAAAATTTAGGAGCATGTGTGTGAATGAATGTGGGTCCTTTAAAATTTAAGGTCATGATATTTTAAATTATAATTTTAAGGGGTCTTAAATTTGGGGATGGAAAAACAGGAATCATGATATAGCCTATATGTGATTATTAAAGGCTAAGATTTGATTAAATAAGTATTGCACATGTAGAAATACAGTGCTGTTGCTGGTTCAAAACAATTCACAGTCTATGAATGCCATGCAAAACGTGCTTATGATTTACTGTTGACAGATTATGACAATGTTTACTTTATGGTGTTTATATTGTAATATGTACAATAGTACAGCATAGACATTTCAAAATAAGAGTCCGAGTTTAAAGAGGGCCTATATACAGTATATATATTTACATAATTGTGACCATGGACCACAAAACCAGTCATAAGGGTCCATTTAAAAAAAATAATAATTTAGATTTATACATCATCTCAAAGCTGCATAAATAAGCTTTCCATTGTTGTATGGTTTGTTAGGATAGGACAATATTTGGCTGAGATATTGAAAATATTGAGGATTGAAAATCTGGAATCTGAGGGTGCAAAAAAAATCGAAATATTGAGAAAATCACCTTTAAAGTTGTCCAAATGAAGTTCTTAGCAACACAGATTACTAATCAAAAGTTAAGTTTTGATATATTTACGATAGGAAATTCAAAAAATATCTTCATGGAACATGATCTTTGCTTAAAATCCTAAAGATTTTTGGCATAAACGAAAAATCTATAATTTTGACCCATACAATGTATTGTTGGCTATTGCTACAAATATACCCGTGCTACCTATGACTGGTTTTGTGGTCCAGGGTCACAATTATTATAACTGATTGAAGTAAAAATATTTCAAAAGCTAGTGTAACTAAATTATTTTGCATGTAAATGTCTGCTTGTGTCCTGTTATTTAGGAAAAACACAATATTTAACACATTTTTAAAATTAAATTTTTCAACTTATGGGAAAAAAGTAAGCGTCAAACCCTGCATGTTTATATATATAAACTGCAAACCCATATTAAGATCTGTTACATTTTATTGAAAGACTATAACAAATTGTTCACAATAAGATCTGGCAAGTGCATTAAGAAAGCAAACAGGGTAGGTTTTGATGTTACATAGACTTTTAAGAGGTCAGTCACACTGTGCATCACTGGCAACACAGTGACAACCAATGAACAACAAATGCCTTCATCCAATCACAACTCTTTCTAGTGGTGACTCCGCCCACATGTTTACAAACACAGAGCTGATTAGGATTTGTATGACATTATGAACTGAAATGAAATATTTGTTGCCTAAACTTTTAATGTCATCAGGCTAAACCAATTTTTACATTAATATGTTTTAAGTCCTACAGAAATGATTGTTTATTCTGTTGTATTACTGTATTTCTACTGCACTATTTAATATGTTTAATTTATTTTTAAAACTGAGTAACATAATGACCAAAATCTTTACAAATCTTCATACAAAAAAGTGTTTTGAACCAATTTTTACTTATTTATTTCTATTATTTATGATGCAAAGGATGACCTCAGCTATCTGCTGTATTTCTTTTTTACTGTAAAACTCTAAATATCACACATGGGCTGAAGTGACAAAGACCAATTGTTTAGTTGTTCAATAAAGACACTAGTCACGGAAAGCTTGACATATACTGATTCAGTTCAATGCAGCATATGTTCAGTTGTTGCATTTAGAGTTCATTGTGCTGATTGAATGGTGTGCTGTATGGAGCCATCCATTACATCACACTATGTATTTATTTGTGCTTTCTTTATTTATACAAACAATGTGGCCATTACTGTTTTTGTTTTAATGGAGATGGATAGAGCTGTATTTGTGTAATTATGGGGAGGATGGTACTGTACATATGTACAACTGATTCTTGATTCTTGTATCAAGGCTCAGTCCTGAATTGGTTTAAAGGGGTCATATGATGCGATTTCAAGTATTCCTTTCTCTTTGGAGTGTTACAAGCTGTTCGTGAATAGATAAGATCCCTAAAATTGCAAAGACTAAAGTCTCAAACCCAAAGAGATGTTCTTTATAAAAGTTACAGTTTTTCTGAATTGCTAAAACACTAAAACGCATTCTCTGAACCAAATTCTCATTAGCTTAAACCAATTTGTCGAATAAAGCACTCTTTCTGCTAAACCTTAAACACGTTCAGGCAGTTAGGTTCTATTTGCAAATCTCATGCACTCATTTTTGCAAAACTCTAAACACATTCTCATTCACTTAAACACTTATCACACTGTGATGCATTTGTGTTGCAAAATGCTAAACACAATCGGCAAAAGTTAAACACAACTAAAGCACAGTTGTCATCGTTTACACACAACGATTCAAAATTGTTCACACTTGTTTCTAATGATGTGATCAAACCAACTGTACAAAATATGAGCCAGTTCAGAGTGCACAAGTGGCACAGGTGACTGAATGATGATACGAACAATAGAGGGAAACAATCTGAGA